GGGGGGCAGGGGTGCTATAGTCTTTTCCATAGTTTCAGGTTCAGAGCCCAGCAAAAGTAAAGGTGATTTGGTTCTTTTTATTTTGGTAAGTGGCAAAGGTGGCAGCTGTGTGGAAGTTTTGAGAGTGGGGTCTGTGCAAAAGGCAGGAATTTTTCCCAGTAACCAATAAGTCAGATTTTGCTCTAGCCATGCACAGTTGTGCACACCTAACATCCCAGCTACTCAGGAAACTAAGGCATGAAGTTCCTGAACATATCACAAGTTTAGAGCTAGCCTCAACAATTTATCAAGACTGCGTCTCAAAATAAAAAGAGCTGGAAATATGGCTCAGTTATAGACTCCCTGGATTCATTCTCCAGAACCACACAAAAAAAAAATTTTTTCACCCTGTTAACTCTGCCTTTAAATCTGTTAGTCTCAGATATTTTCAGTTGCTTCTCTGTGTGAATTGCAAGAAGCAATGTGATTTAAATTAGTTCAGGATCTAAAACCAGAGTTAGAGGTTTTTTCTGTAAACTGTAGGTGGTGAATATTTTATGCTTTGTGTACTACTGATGGTTGAACATTTTTCTTCTTTTTATAGTTGTTTTTTCTTTCCAAAACAGTTTTAAATTTGTAGAAAAATTACAAAGATAGTACAGAGTTTCCAGACATCTACACCCAATCCTCAATTAATTTCTGAGGTTATAGTAGGCGTGGTGGCCCTCACCTGTAATTCCAACAACTCAGGAGGCAGAGGCAGTAGGATCACAAGTTTGAAGCCAGCCTCCACAACTTAGCAAGCCCCTGTCTCAAAATAAAGGTTGGGGATGTGGCTCAGTAGTTAAGGGCCCCTGGGTTCAGTCCCTAATACCAAAAAAATAATAATAATAGGTTAGTAGGAGATATTTTTACAATTAATAGGCCAATTTTCATGTACTATTACTAATTAAATTTTGTGACTTATTCCACTTTCTGTAGTGTTTACCTAACTTTCTTTGTGCATTCCAGGGTCCCCTCCAAGACACCACATTGCAGCTGTTGTCACATCTTAGATTCATCATGCTTGCAGTGGCTTCACAGACTTCAGTTTCAATGACTTCAACAATTCCCAAGGTGAAGTATTTTGTCAGATGCTCCTCTCTGGAATTTAACTTATATTTTTCTCATGATTAGACTGGGTCTTATGTCTACAGTGAAGATGAACACAGAGGTAATTGCCATGTTTATCTCATCTTAGCAGGGATACTCTTAACCTGGTTTATGACTACTGAGCTTGACCTTGACCTCCTAGATGAGTTTTCAGAACTATAAAAATTACTCCTTTTTCTGCCTCCCCATACTGTACTCTTTGAATGGAAGTTACTCTCCTCAGCTCACATTTCAGGAAAGAATTATGCTCCCTCTCCCTTCTTCTTGTATATTTCCATTTATAAACACTTTTAAAATGCTCATCAACTCTGGCTATCCATAGCAGACTGAGACTGGATTTGGCCTGTGGCCAGTAGTTGCTATCCTGATCTGTTACATCGATTTCAATCCTGTCCCATGCTTTTCCTGGCTTTTTGAGTTTTGTAAAGATTGTGATGAAGACAAAATGTGTTAATATACCGCAAGCCCAGAGATGAGCCACTGGAGCATAAGTGCTCAGTAAATGCCTCCTGCAGAGGCTATGTGGAAAGCCTTGATGTTCATAGATGATGAGCCACATCCATGCCTACCACAGGCTTCTACATGCATTCTCCTTAAAGATGAAAAGACACCAGATTCCCCATAAATCTGGTCTTCCTTCTTTTTTAATCTTTTTTTATTAGGTCTTCCTTAAATTACATATTTTATAATGGGACTAATGAATTTCTGCTGTAAAAAAAAAAAAGTTGAGGCCCCTAAAGAGTTCATGAAGAATGTCAGAATTGGGCTGGGGATATAGCTCAGTTGGTAAAGTGCTTGCATTGCATGCACCAGGCCCTGAGTTTGATCCGCAACACCACAGAAACAAAAAGAAGAAGAATGTCAAAATTACCCATAGTAGTACTATACACTGCTAATCATTGCTATTTTCATATGTGTTTCCGATCCTCACTCCCCCTCTAAGTATGGCTGTGTTTATTTCCAGAGTATAAAATCCTTCTAACTGATCGCATAAATGAGTCAAAGACTCTCCAGATCTTAGTTTGTAAAAGGAATCCATGCTGCAGATGGGTCACATTATACCTGTGAGCTTGTGGGGGAAGGGGTGCACCAGGAATATTTCTCTTGCTTTGATAAACCTCATATTCACACCTTATAGGATAAGAAATACATTATTTGAAGCTAATCCCACAGCAACAAATGATCAAGACATCCTTTCAGAATTAGGTTATCCAGGATTTTAGGGAGTTTTTGATGTTTTTTTTTTTTTCCCACAGAACATAATAATTATTGATCTGATGCCTTACAAATAGAAATTTTTAGAAATGACTTTGCTGGGATTACATATATAATAAAAATATATACAAGGAAAAAGTCCAAGATTTATGAAGAATGTTTAAGATGACGATAGTTTAAAATGTTTACATAAGTCTTTCATATCAGTTAGATCACATGATTCAGTCTCTTGCCAGTGTTCTCAATTTAGAATCTTGTCATTCCTTGAGCTAGATTTTTGATGAAGAATCATGTCCCTGTCTCCCTGGTTGCAGATGGAGAGGAAACAATTCCTCCTTCTGTGTCTTAGAATCTGTTTTACTTATTTTGCTAATTAAAAAGAATCTCATGCTTAACAATCATGCTCTGAAAGTTGTTTTTATTTAGCATTGATTAATTAGACAGCAGAATTGGGAAGCATGTCCTTTTTAGCATAAGGGAAATTGAGTTTAATTTCTTTTATAAAAATGGATTAAGGCCAGGCACAATGGATCATGCCTATAATCCCAGTGGCTCTGGAGGATCGCAAGTTCAAAGCCAGTCTCAGCAAAAATGAGTCGCTAAGCAACCCAGCGAGATCCTATCTCTAAATAAAATACAAAAAAAAGGCTGGGGGTGTGGCTCAGTGGTCAAGTGCCCCTGAGTTCAATCCCTGGTATCTCCATCCCCCAAAAAAATTAATTAAGGAATGTGTGATGTTATTGATCTCAAAATAGTAGCTAATGTACATTAAATTACATATTAATGACCTGGGGATATTACGCATTAGTAGAGCATTTGTGCCTAGCATGCCCAAGGCCCTAAGTTCCATCCCCAATAGGACAAAAAGAAAAAGAAATGAAAAAAAGCTAGTTTTTTAGTATCCTTTATCCAAAATACTTGGGAACAGAAGTGCTTACGATTTTGGAGTTTTTCAGATTTGGGGATATTTGTATAGATTTTTCCTGTGTAACATCTGTAATCCCACCAACTCTGGAGGCTGAGACAGGAGGATTGCAAGTTCAAGTCCAGCCTGGATAATTTAGTGAGACATTGTCTCAAAATAAAAAGGACTGGAGATATATGTAGCTGACTGGTAGACACCCCTGGGTTCGATCCCCAGTATTAAAAAATCAAATCCTAAATCCAGAAAGTCCTGAGCATTTTGGAATTTTGATTTTGGGACTAGAGATGGCCAACATGATCTGCGTATTTTTCGTAGATTCTTTCACATAATAGATAGGAAATCCATACTTTGTGGTATTTTTAGCCCACCTTTGCCATTAAGGAAACAATTGGGTTAGTACCTGTCACTACAAAGATTCACTTCTGGGCATACCACGAAGCCTGTGTTCAAGCACTCCACAGAGCCACTCCCCAGCTCTGCAGACACCTTTTGCCACACCTCCTTCCGCTGGGGATTCGTGACAAGTCCTTCCCCAGTTAGTGAGCACGTAGCGGGAGCGGGCGACGGTGCGCCTGTACTCGACGGACCCTGGCCCATCTGCGGCCGTGGGTGGCGTCCACCTCCCGGGCGTGCTGTGCGGCTGAGGTGTCTCCGCCGGTCCCCGACCCACAACCCGTGCCGCCTTCTGCGACCGCCAAAACGCCGGCCGGGCGCGTGCCGCACAGGGTGCCGCGCTCACCCGCGCCTCCCGGGGGCCCCTGCGCAACGCGCCAGGTCGCTGGTGCTCAGCCCCGTTCCCATGGATACGGCCCGGGTTTCTAAGGACACCCTCCCGTGTTCTGGGGCCTTTGGGGTGCGCGGGCGCATGTGTACGGGGAGGCACCTTGCGCATGCGCAGGTTGCCGCGGTGGGCCAACGTGTCGGTGGCCGGTCCCCGGTCGCGGCCACTGCGCATGCGCACTAGCCTGCCTAGTGGCAGGCGTGGGCGGGCGTGACGCGGGCTGTCCGCTGTCCCCGTAACCATGGCACAGGTGCGTGAGTGGGCGTCATTGGTGTCCATGGGAACGCGCTAGGTGAGTGGCTGTGCCCGTGACGCAGCCTCCAGCCTGCCTGGTGCCTTCAAGCCTGGGCTGACCGCCGGGCTTTGTGGCTTCAGCTGCGACACAGGTGTGTGTGGGGCCTCGGGACGACGGGTCCGAGGGCGCAGAGGTGTGCGGGCGAAGGAGCGCCCCCCTCGGAGGCAGGCCGCCGGGCGGCAGTGGGTGTGACGGGTAGCGGCGCGAGGTCCCGGGACCTGCCCGGCGTGCGCTGGGTGGCCTGTGCTCCCCTGCGGTCCCTGCCCGCACCTGTGTCCGCATACCTGCCCCAACGACGAGCGACAGGGACCCGGAAGGGCTGGAGTGGAGCCCAGGGGTGGAGCTGGTGCTGAGCACGCAGGCCTTGGGTTCGATCCCCCTTCCCAAAAAACACATGGTCGGGAGGTGACAAGTTTTGGAGAAGCAAGTGCTCTCCTGCCTCTGTGCAGGATCCTGAGTGACAGGAGAAAGCCCAGGTCTATACTTCCTGCTCTTTGGGCACAGGTACCTGATGTGGGAGACAGGCTCAGCCCCGTGCTTCAGGACAGGAACTTTGTCCTGGACCCCAGAGATCTCTGGCCCTCTTATTTCTAGTTGATTTTACTATGGCCTAGGACAACTCTTCCTTCACGTGTATTTTCTAAGGTGGCCTGTGCTCCAAAAAGTCACTGGTGTTGCTTCATTCTCCTCTTTCTCCTAGGCCAGCTTTAAAACAAAAAAAAAAAAAAAGTCATCATAAGGCAGAACAATTTGTACAACTGAAAGTCAAGGTTCAGGTGAGTTTCCTTTTTGTTCCTTAAATGACTTGTGTTAAGATTACTTTTAGGACTTTTACTTTCCTTGGTCTTAAATGTCTTTCCTAAAAGCATCTTATCCCAGTAATTCCTCCTCAGGATGTGTCAGGGCCATGCAGTGGCCTCAATGTATTCTCCTTTGACCAACTCTCTTCAGGGAATATTCACAGACTCATTTGGAAAATTGTTCACATTTCCTGGTGAGCTCTGCCTTTCTAAGAATCTGAAGGTATTTTCTATACCTCCGAGAAGCTAATTCTAGTGCTTTATATTAGTGTGTGGTTTGAAGGGGAGGGGACTGGATTTTAAATGGAACCAGCACTAGATTTCTTTGACATGAGAGTAATGGGTTATTGTAATTGTTTATTTTTTAAGCAACATTGGTGTTTCAAAATTTTTATGTGACTGACAAATGACAAGTCATAAATATAGTGTGCAACTTGATGTTTTGATTAGTGTATATATTGGGGGAATGATTGAATCATACCAGGATGTTCCTGTTATGTATGAGTACAAAAGCTATACCTTTGTAGTGGATTTCAAGTTCAGGTAGTGTGAAGGCTTCACTTTGTTCTTTTTGCTCAATGTTGCTTTGACTATTTGGAATCTTTTGTGATTCCTTGCAAAATTTAGGAAAGAGTGTGTGTGTGTGTGTGTGTGTGTGTGTGTGTGTGTGTGTATGAGAGAGAGAAGCGGCGGGGTTGTAGAAACTGTGGATCACTTTGGTTAATGTGGCCATTTCAACTATATTGATTTTTCCAAACCATAAATGAGGGCTATCTTTCTGTTTATTTGTGTTTTCTTCCATTTCTTTCAACCATGTTTTATACTTTTCCACATACAGGTCAACTCCTAGATGAGATTTATCCCTAAGTGGATTTGTTTGTTTGGTTTGGTTTGGTGTTTTTGTATTTTGATACTATAATGATACTGCTGTCTTGATTCCTTTTCAAA